TCCAACCAAGGGCCTGGGCACGGTACCTTTGACTCTACAGTTGACTTTGACCCTTGACTTTCCTAGGTGCAGCATTTGGTCACACAGCCAAACGCGACAGACTCAGGCCTGGACGTGTCCTGGTCCCACAGCCCAGCGCAGACCAACTTTGGTCTGCGTTGCCTGGGGCTGAGTTCTGGGCCCCAGACTACTTCTGAACAGGGTTACTGCAGTGAGAACATTTAGGGCCAGATCCCACCGGCAAAGAGGACTGAATTAAGTGTCTGAATCTGGACGTGTTTGTGGATAGGCGCAAAAATCTGTGATTGATCTGCGTTTCTGCATCTCTGTGTGGAACACTTCCAAATTCAAAGACTTACTCCAATCGTCTTCGCCAGTGGGATCAGGCCCTTAGATTCAGTCTTCAGCCGTTACGAATAGCCACAGCCCACCTTGGAAAAGCACAGTTCCAGGCTCATCAACTTGGGCTCATTTGAACTGGTGGTTTATCAATTGCTTTTTAAAAGCGCAACGGCCTAGGTCATTCAGGTGTTTCATTCATCTTTTTTTTTTTTTTTAATGGGAACAAAGCTCCAATCTATTCGTGGGGAGCAGCACGTGCTGGGAACCAGGCCCAGCGTCCAATATGAAAGTTGACATAGAATTTTGAAAGAATTTTGAAAGTTTAGGATTCCGGGGCTAAGAAGAATTTGATGTACTGAGAAAATCACTACAGAAGCGTTCATCTACTTACGTCTGGATTCCAAATCAGGAGCTAAGTCCCCACTAGCAGGGGTTTAGCCCTTACTTTCGAGTGTTTTTCATCGTAGCCACAGTGCAGCTGTGAGATGAGCGAGATCGGATGGCAGGAACAGATGTATACTCAAAACCAAGGCTAACCCCCTGCTGGTGGGACTTCGCCCCAGGTCTGTGTCGATGGTGATTATCCCCAGGAACGTCGAAAAGGCAAACCAGGCAAGGAGGACGGGACAGGAAACAACGGGCTGCCCGAAAATGTCATAGAAATTGAAAAAAAAAAGGAGCTTCCGTGAGCAAACAGAACAACAGAACATTACGTGGGGAAAAAATTCCGAACATAGAGAAAGAATTCCGAAAAAGTCCATTTGACTGTCACAAACAAGATAGAATTTTTGAAAGTCGATTGGACTGTCACAAACAGGGACTATGGATTCCATCAAAGGCTACCATCGGGCACTTCAACTCTAACACAACAAGATTTCAACTGCCGGCTGCCGGCCTACCGGCCTGCCCACATTCCTGCCCACATTCCTGCCCGCATTCCTGCCCTCCCCTGCTCTCACTGACAAGCCAAATTAGGCATGCATGCGTGCTCAGCATCATGATTGTTTTGTTGTTCGGTGGAGTCACACGGAACGATTATGACAGCACGAGATAAATACAAAGGTATGTACACGACAGTACTGGGTACGTTCAGTTGAAACACTCAACGTCCAGTTCCGCGCTATTGTACTCAACGCTGGCCCCTAGCCAGCACAACACACACGCGCACACACACACACACACACACACACACACGAACACACGCACGGACACACACACACACACACACACACACACACACCTCCAAGAAGTGGAAGGGAGGGGAGGGAGATGAGGAGGAGGAGAGGGAGAGGGAGAGGGAGAGAGTGTGCGGTTAAACAAAAACCGGTCACCGGGCAAAAATTTCTTAATGTTGCAACTTGGAACTGTCAACAAATTAGAAATGCAATGCAAATGTCAACGTTGCCGCAATTCATGCAGCATGAAAAAATCATTCTATGAGGATATTTTGATGGCAGAAGTCTTAGTAACTTCTTAACAAATGTCGTAAACTCAGCGGTTAATTAACGTTGTTAATATTTACTGACCTATATTAGAGCTGAAAAATAAATAGTTATTCCGTTTGTTGCTACTCCATCCGTTTGTCGCTCAAACTCCATTCGGCTTATCAATTTAACTCCGTTCCGCATGTAGCTCAAATCAATTCCGTGTGGGAAAATTAACTTCGTTCCGTTTGGGGATTAACTCTAGACTCTAGTTGTTCGTTCGGACTTTAGTTACAGTCCGTTCGATGGCGTCTACAGTCCGTTTGGATGTTACCTCCAGTCCGTTTGGAGGTACACTCTGTTCGTTTGACGCTAACCAAAGTCCGCTTGGCGGACAAGTTCCGTCCGTTCGGCGCATGACTTTATTCTATTTATTGCTTAACTCCGTTATACTAGGCATAGCTAGCAACTGATGCGGTGACAGGACGTTGTTATTGAGTACCCCAAACGCCTTTTAATCGAAAAGACGCCGTAAATCCGTGTAAAAACAGAAGGGCGCGATCGTGGCCGCGCACGCATTGTGCTATGAAACCAAAGAGAGACACTGAAGAAGGGTATACGTGCCCTGCCAAAAAGAGCAGGCAAGCAACGACGATACGCCTACTAGGCCGGCGAAAAGGACGTCATAGTATTTATTACACCAGCAAAACAGGGCAGCTTGAATAGGGCATGCCAAACAAGACGCCGCCGCCCTATCCAAGCAAAAAAGCTGACTAACACTACGATATAATTACTATCTACAAACCCCTTCTGTGCTATATCGTGTGCTATGCCGTCAAAGCCAGGCGATACCAGCAAAGACGAGCCGTAACCTGTGCTGTTCCAGCATCCTGCAATCCAAGCATGGTCTGCCAGCAAAGCACGCCGTAAGCCGTGCTATACCAGTATACTCTGCCAGAAAACGACGACGCGCCCCACCGAGCTACGTCAAGCAATCCATGTCATTGACTGGCAAATGCTGAGGAGCAATGCGCCACTAAACTGGCGTAGGCACCAAAGCCGGAATGGAACCGCAGTTACCATGTAAGGTTGGGGAGAGAGCAAGGCTCCTAGCTGGTTGGCCACCCATCACCAAACAATTTAACAGCAATCACTGCCGCCATAGCTATGAAGAAAGAGGGAAAAGACCGCTCAAGACGGCGTGAGAGGATAAAAGACAGGACTTGATACCTAGTAGAATAGTCTGAAGCAGGAGCGAATCAGGCAAGATGGAGCGTCGTAATCACATAAAGATGGCCGCTTGGACACACTACCGGCCTAAAATCGACGAAGCCGCCATAGCCGGGCGACCTCAGCGAGAAAAAGGACAAACACACGAGAGCCAAAGCGGAGCACAAAAACGGAAAGACAGACAAGAGAATCACAGCCACCGCTCAATGCCCTAAACACCCTTCACCCGGTTCCGACCACCCCGTTCCGGCCACCCCGACCAGTCCCGACCACGCACGCCGTCACAGAGACAGCTCATCTGCTTGTCTGATTGTCTGGCCTTCCTTAGCCCTCCACAAACTTTGCCTGTCCTTGAAACAAACCCCACCATCTCTAACTACCTTCCCTCCTCCTTCCCCCCCCGCTCTCTCTCTCAATTTACAATCCGTCGGCGAAACCAAGAGAAGACGGAGCAGAGGCCGGTGCCTCGGCGCAGGCGTCCAGCACGTCGGCGTAAATGTTTTCCGTCGTCAGGACCGCATCGATAAGATGCACTATTGCGTTCTCCATGAGGATCACCTCAGGCTCGATGACGTGGGCATAACCGTCCAAGGTGATCACTATCTTCTCCGTGTCGTACTGAACTTCAATAGGAAATCCATCGGCCGGGATGACTTGGTTGGTCTGGGTCAGTTTGTACACGGTGTAGAACCTGCCCTTGAGTACGTGGTGCTTCAAGGTATCCTTGAGCGCAGCCTTCCCGGCTATTGTGTTAGTAAGGCAGTCCCAGGGAAACGCATCCGCAGTGGCGGCTTGGATGGCTTCGTCCACGGGGGCAAATATGGTGACCGGCTTGTCGTCCACTGAGGTACTCAGCTCTTTAGAGTACTCGGTCGTGACTAAGGCTTGATAGAACATCGTCAGCCTCGGATGCTGCCTGACGGCCTCCAAGAGGTCATGTCCAGGGCCTCCGTGGACAAGCACAGGAGACATGACCAGCAACACCGCGAAAACCGCCGCCAAATGCGCCGCCATCTTCCTCGCTGGCTGTACGGCTGAGTACACAGAACAGCGAGTTGCGTCGTTAGTCAGCCTCGCAACTCTCTCGAAATTGACGGCAATGATGAATCAGATCGCCCTCCACTCTCCCACCGAGCAAATGCCAATCACGTCCAGCCACAACCGAAGCCTGCTCCACCCGCTGCACCAAATACCACTTGTACTTCAGATGACGGCAACAAACGCCGGCAACCAACGCTTCGTTTTGTAGATATACAAAACGTCTGCCCGTGCGTTCGCGGAGAAGTCACTATACCTGCCGCCGGCGCCTGCTTTGCGCACGCGCTAAATCGCCGGCCTAGCCTGCGTCGTGCGCCTTCCCCCCGCCCCACGCGGAAACGAAGAATCTCGCCAGGGGGAACTTGACCACGGAAACGTTGTGCGCGTGACCAGCCTGTGGTCCAGCACGTGTGAGTAGAAGTGTCTGGACTTCTCCTATGACTTTACTCCCTTTTTTCCTGCCTTTTTTTTGGGGCCGATGGACCACGGATCAGCAGATATTGAACTGATTTTCCTTTTTTTCTTCTTTAGTTTTCTTTTGGCCCGGCGGACCACGGATCAGATATTGAACTGATCGGCACAGATACTAAGGTTGATCTTAGAGGCGCCACACAGGCGAACAGATACCAAGGTTGATCTTAGAGGCGCCACACAGGCTGTCGAAACTCTTTGAGTCGACAGCTGTCAGAAAAAATTCAAAAGCCGGCTGTCTACAGCTTACCCCCTCTTCGCGGAAAAGGCTGTCGAGTGGCAAGGTTTGGTAATTTCTTTTTTTTCTTTTTTTTTTCTTTTTTTTTTTGGGGGGTTTGGTAATTTCCAGATGGACCCCGCCTTTCCACAGGACACGGCCGTCACGGAACAATCCCTGACAATGCAACTTCCAACGCAATTCTAGAAAGGAAGGTGGGGCACTTCCGAATTTCGGTCTCCCAAAAAAAAAAAAAAAAAAAAAAAAAGAATTTCCGTCTCCTGCAGGCGGGAGGAAACGAATGGGGGACATGGGTGATTATGGTTTCGTGGAGTTGGAAGTCGCCTGCACAGACTCCCCTTGGTGCAGCCTGTGCAGACTCTTCTTTCAGTGGGAAACGGACTCCTCATGCCCTCGCAAGGCCAAATACAAGGAGGCGGTCATGAAGGGGGAGGAGGGTAAGGAAAAGGCTGAGGAAGGGAACCAAGAGGAGAAAACGACAGGGGGGAGAGGGAAGGAACAGGAGGAGGATGAAGGCAGGAAGGAGGAGGAGGACATCCCAGGGGCAAAGGATGGACTGGGGAAAGGGGGAGCAATGGTCGAGAAGGAGAGTGGGACAAAACCGCCCGCCCCCAAGGCGTTTGAAGAAAAGAAGGAAAGAATGAAAGAAACCATTCGTCAACAGAAGCTGGGGGCAGAAACCAGACATCAGAAACTGAAGTGGAAGAAGAAAGGGAAGATGAATCAGGATCCCTCCGGTGCAGAAACAGGGGAAAATACAGGGTCCGGCTCGGGAAGAATGGGACGGCTCGGAACGAAACGAAAGGACTACCCCCCGGGGGCGGTCGACCGGGCACCTCGGTACCAATGGGCTTCTCCTTCGGTAATTTCGAGGTTATCGATGCTGCTGTTCAACCCCGTAGTTAAGCTATGGAGGTTAGGGTTAGGAACACTGCCTTCACCCTGAGGAGCAACGGCCTTTGAGGCCGAGTGGATACGACCCGAGAACAGCCTGGTATGGCTGGCCCACGATCCCTTCGGTTGGCCTGAATGGGAATTTCAATTTCAATGCGCGAAAAATAATCATTTACGATGAACGACTTATCAACGGCGGCGACGAAACCATTCAAGTACAAGGAAAGGACGCGAAGGTATAACTACCAACACTCTTCCCTTTTGTCCTCGGATCCCCTGTTGGTTGAATGAAGACTGGTAATTAAGATTGACTATTCTGTTAATAGAGGCCTTGTATATTATTTAAATTTTCTACTCTTGGCTTTCTCAAGTAATTTTCTGCCCTCACACCATGGCGACTCAAGGAAGGTCTACTCAAGAGAGGAAAGAAAACAACTCTCTTCCTTGTTTGAAGCATGTTGCAGGGACGAAATTTTACCCTCGGGTTTGGATATTGGGGTCGCAGAATTGGATGACGACTTTGCACGTTTTGACCTGAACGAAAGTTTTTTGGATCTGAATCTAACATGGTTCAAAGAACACGCAATCACGATCCTCTTCCAGGAGAGGGCATCGATACTTTCGAACGACACGAAAAAGAAGTTGGTACGAATCTACGAGGATTCGTGGTACGATGCAGGTTTGATTGCAGACTCAATCAGAAGAGGCAGATACCAGAACGAAGGAAAGAATCTAGCCTCCTTTGTGTCCTCACAGACCACGGTCAGCGGCTGGTTAAAGCAGAAAAAGGAAGACTATGTCGATTTGGGTGATAAAATGAACAAACTTACCTTCCTACCTTGGATAACATAGGCTGAAATGAAGGAGTACAAGGAGGCGGAATCCAAATTCTTCTGGATTAGATGCCCCCGCGTGCCTTTCCAGTTACTGGCGATGTTGCAGACGGCGGTGAAAAAAACGTTCGGGGCTGTCTTAAAAGTACATCCATTTGAAGAATATGAGGACAAACCAGAACTTGGTACAATAAGATTCGATCTCGAGTTGAAGGCCCGAAAAATGGTTAAACCGAGGTTGTTGGTTGGAATTCCAGGCCAATGTGTATACCACTTTGAGGTCATCTCTACGGCAAAACCATGGTGCTCGGTGTGCCAAGTGAACCACCACACAGAAAATGACGAATGTTGTTTAGTTTTCGAGGACCCAGACCCGTTCACAGCGGAGATGAAGCAAAAGGTATACCCACCCGAACCCCCCTTTTCGGGCTTTGTTCCACAGGGAGAGGATCCTCCCCTCACAGGTTTCAAGCGATTTACAGGGCGAAGACATGCAATGAATCCAACGAATAAAAGTGTTTCCAAAAGTCAACAAAGAGGTAGATCGAAGACCAAATCGCGGTCTCATCAGACTCATTACGGCTCTGGAGGTCCGACTGGTCTACAGAAACCGGATGAGAGAAACCTGAGTGGCATCAAAGATAAAGCCTCAAGCTCAGAAGCCAACGAGTCTCCAAGTCCACTAGGAAGCAGATCGAAAGCGAACTCACAAAAAAACGGATCTAAAATGCGGTCAGAAGCAAACATGGTCACAGGTTCAGAGAAAGATGAAGAAGAGCACACGAGCACAAAAAAGAATGCGAAAAACGGGGAATGGGAGCTGGGTGGGGGTAGTTCTGCCCGAGAGGAAGTCGGACGAAATGTCTTAGTGATGGTTGTTAAAGCAGTTATCAATAAAGATAAAGGGAAAAGGAGTGAGCATTCCCCTTTCAAAAGATCGAGGACTCAATCTCCTGATAGAGAGGCTGTAGAAATTAGAAGCGAACACAACAGTTTAGCATCTGGTCTGGGGTCAAGTCAGGGGGATTTGATGAACAAAGACTCAAGGAATAGAAAGGTTGGTCACCATATCGTACTTAAGGAGACGGAGCCACGTACTACGATGGGACGAGGGGAAATGGACATTCCCAAAGTCCTGGTCCCCTTGCTGTGTGCAAAATCAGACAAAGGTATGGTTATCTTGGCCTCTTAAACAAATGATGGGCTCTTGGAACTGGCCACCACAGACGCGAATGTGTCTCTCACAGGAAACGTAATCCTGATGAAGGTGTCAAAAATTATTCCAGAATGATTAAAAATCCGTCTAATTCCTCAGACTCGAGTGGAAGGACAAACTGTGGAAAATAAGAAAGGGGGGGAAATCCACTTCTACTATGTCCCGATGGAAGTCCAAATGAATGATGAGACAAATAGTATTATCGTGGGGCAAAACAGGAGCCGGTTTCCTCTGGCAACCCTGTCGTCACCATCGAACCCAGAACTGCAGGGTATCAGGGTTGTACCTGGGATTTCAGCAGCAGCTATAGCAGACTGGATGTCCACCTCGTTTCTGAGAGAGACCCGTCTCACTCCGCATTTGTTGTCGTTAATTCAGGAACCATGGGAGAAAACATCACGTGATGAGGGACCAAGGAGGAGGAAACGGTCCCAAGGTGGACAAGGAGTAGGAAGCCGCATCCAGTTGTCAGTCGCCGACACTGCTCCTCATGCCTCTTAGCGGCAAGCTCAAGCTTGCTTCATTGAACGTGAGGGGCCTATGTGACACAAACTTTAAATTTAAACGAAGCCGTCTGAAAACATGGATTCACGTGGAAAAACATTCAGGTGACCTGTATACAAGAAACAAAAATAGATGAAAACCGTTGTAGAGAAGCGGAAACGTGGTGGACCGGCTATCAGTTTTGGTCGCCGGCTCAAGGAACAAGGGGCGGGACTGCAATACTGATCCATAAAGACTTGAATGCGGTTATTATTGACTCAATGGTCGATTTGTGGGGCAGATGGGTGTGGGTTAAGTTTGAGGTGGGGTCTAGGGATTGAACTGTAATGTCAATATATGCACCAACAGACTATAATGAAAGGTTGAAGTTTTTTACTGAGCTACAAGGAATTATTCCAGATTCGGATAATCTGATCATTGCAGCAGATTGGAATACCATACTAAACCTAGGCATGGATGGTCCGAAAGTGGGGCCTATGAGAGCCGACAGTAGACTGCTACATAGTTTTATGATCACTCATGATTCGGTGGATGCTTACAGGGTATTAAACCCGAACACACAAGATTATACCTGGTTCGGCTCTCAAACGCCACCAGCTCGTTGAAGGCTTGATTTCCTTCTGATGAGAGGTCATCCATGGGAGGAATGTACGACCGTAGAAATCAAGTTGACAGATATGTCTAATCATAGGCCCGTTGTCGGGCGCAATCGGTCCGGCACCGCACGGGGCAGCGCGGGACCCTCCCGGCCGCGTCACGCAGGAGTTGGTGTTCAATCCTTCGTCACAAAAATACATGGAGCTTCCACAAGCCGCTCCGGCCGGGTGCGCCAGCCATACCTCTCGCGAGCCCCTACGACAGGATAGGGCCTACGTGAGGTACGACTTACCTACACCTTACGGGAGTTGTCACCTCCCTTCGGTGGGCGTATCCCCGCCGAGCTACCAGTCCACAGTACGGAAGTTAATCAGCTGCAATCGCAGAGGTGGACCAGCCGAGGGCGTTTCTCGTTCGCTGTAGCATAGGGGGTACGCGCGGTAATACGCCTCTATTGGACCCGCACGCGAA